GAGTTCACAGCAAGCTCTGCAGATGATTTGAGCTTGGTGTCAGTCTAGATTGGTTCTTTGTGTACTCTGCATTTCCTCTCTGTAATTGACATTCTGTGTCATAGGAGAAGACCGGGATTGGAAACACTTTAGGCCACTGCTGTGTTCTTAATGATTCTGAGGAAGAGCCGCTAAGTAGTACTGTGTCATCTGTATTCACAGATCCAGAGGAGTCTTCACTGTACAGTCCACTTGTAAGGGTACTATTTAATGGTATCTCAACTGGGTACAAGACCACAGTTGTAGAATCGGGGTCTAATTCGACAACTTTGATCACTGTTAAATCTTTAATCGCATGTGTAGATGTAAGATTAACAAATGTGTTCCAAAAATCAGTGTCTTTATACTGTAGCCTTATGTAACCTTCTAATCCACATGAATTCTTGACCTCCTCAATGAGCTCTTCCATTGAGTTGGGAATCCCATTTCGAAGCTCCAGTCTGACGCTGTTGTGGTCGTTCAAGATGATCAGCAATCGAATAGGTGGTTCAATATCAGCCATGGCGCTCTAAGAGAAAGAGAGAAATAGAGATGTGAAGAGGGAATTAATGAAATGCAGGTGTACACTCAATACATTCTTTCTTTTCAAATTGCATTGTGTTGTACTTTACAAAGTATTACATACAAAGTTGATATATATATATATATATATATTAGGGCTGTCAAACGATTACATTTTTTAAATCAGATTAATCACAGCTTAAAAATGAATTAATCATGATTAATCACCATTCGAACTATGTCCAAAATATGCCATTTATTTATGTATATTGTTGTGGGAATGGAAAGATAAATGAAAGAAGGCGGATATATCCATTTAACATACAGTATGTATGTTTATTATAACATTGTTCTGTGTGTCAAAATGAAAGACAGCCCACTAAAATTCGTTACTCAAAGCCTATACTTTATTTTAGGACAGTGGTCAACATTTTGGTGATGTAAAAATATATAACACGATGTTGTAAACTAAAGTTACATTTACAATATCTTTATCAATTGAACTTGAAAATTAAAATATAAGTCGCTCGTCAATATGAAAGAAACACATTACTCTGTCCTTAAATTGACGTTTAACACCAGAATTTCTACTCTGGTAATAAATACAAATTCATAGTCTTATCTATTTATTTACAATAGAAAACACGCAGCCCGCCTGTTCATACTGTTTACAGGCCACCAAGCCTCAGTTAAGAAAAGGTAAAGTTAATATACTTAATGTTTGTCTGAATATATTTACCGTTGAATCTGGCCATGACTCATGCTGGTAGACCGCTAACGCTAGCATGCTTTATTCAGACATTGACTTTAGCCTGTAGTCGAATTGGAGTCATGGGTGGGTAGTGTTTTTACAGTCCACTAGCTCAGTTAAGAACATTTAACGTTACAGTTAATGTTGTGTTGAGAAATATATGCTCTGCGGAGTGTTCTTCACTGGATAATGCGTGGTCTGAATAAAGCATGCTAAACGTTAGCGCATGCTAAACATTAGCACAAGCTAAACGTTAGCGCATGCTAAACATTAGCGCAAGCTTTTACGGCCTACTCAGTCAGAGTCACGGCCAGACACACGTAGGCTAACGTTTTCCATAAATAACGTTACATTTTCTTAAATGAGCTACCGGACTGTAGTAACGTTAGCCACCCATAAATCCAAGCGCGCTAAAGGCTAATGTCTGAATAAAGCATGCTAGCGTTAGCTTATAAGGGCTATCAACAGCCGGTAAGACCCACAGCCAGAGTCAACGGAAGATATACTCAGACAAGCGTTAACGTTTCGGTATGTGAAATTATATTAATATATATATATATATATATATATATATATATTAACATTAGTTTATCCTTACCAGTATCACATGTGCTCGTTTTCCAAGTGTCAAAGACTGGATAGAGGCGGATGAAGACTGCTGGTTACGACGATTACCTCTGTCACTACCGATCTGCCCACATGATCTGCCCGATCTGTCTTCTTCTTCTTCTTCTTCAATTTAATGGTGAATCGCTTCCACTTGGAGCATATATCGCCACCTACTGTTGAGTTATTAAATGTTCATATTAAATCCTTGTCCTCAAACCAGTGCTTTTGAGGAATTTGAAGATCAGCTTGTTTGCTTCATTTCTTGATTTACTTTCATATATTGATTTGAAATCCATGTCCTTGATGTTGAGTTGTTCCAGTGCAGTTTTCAGAATGAGTCTTTGCCTTGTATATTCCGGGCAGCTAAAAAATACATGATGTATTGTCTCTGGTTGTTGGCAACCATCACAATTGCCATTTGGATGTTTCCCAATCAGATGCAGTGATGAGTTTAATCCAGAGTGTCCCAATTTTATCCTGCTGTTAATGCTCTGTTCTCTTCTACTACTCCCCCAAGTGCTTCCTGTTCCTACTTCCCTTTGTATCTGGTATAAATGTCTTCCTTTGATGTTACTGTCCCATAGTTGTTGCCATTGTTGCTTGATAACCACTTTTGTAACAGATTTGACTTCTGATCGACTGATGGGTACAATTATATCAATCTGGTTTGCTTTCAAACCACATTTTGCCAGTTGATCCACTACTTCATTCCCTCTAATACCCACATGCGCTGGAACCCACACAAATTGAACAACAATTCCCAGATGAACTAACCTAAACATGATGTGTAAAATTTCATGTAAAATATCCTGACGACATTCTGAAGAGAAGTTGTTTATGCTCTCCAGAGCTGCACTGGAGTCAGAGCAAATGACCACTCGCATTGGCTGTATTTCCTCTACCCACTGAAGTGCTAGTGAGATAGCCATCATCTCTACTGTATATACTGCAATGTGATCACTCGTACGCTTTCCCACTTTTACTTTTAATTCAGGAACATAAAATGCACAACTAGTTTGACCATTTTCTGGATCTTTGGATCCATCAGTAAATATTTGTATAAACTGCCCATATTGTTCATGTAGAACAGTGTTCACATAAGCCTGTACATTGATTTTGTTTTTCATTGAATGTAATCGTTTCAATAGTGATACATCTACTATAGGTTGAGGTAGCAACCATGGTGGAACAGCTGATAACACCACCGTCGGACTAATACTCCATTCTTTAACTTTGAATTCCTTACATATTTCCGAAACACAAACACAAAAACTTTCTTTTTTTATTTTGTTACTTTCCCAACTTGTTTGTACAGTTTGTTTGGTAGGGTGAGTATCTTTATGGCCCTGAAGATTTGCCCAGTAATGAACAATTAACTGTTTTCTCCTCAAAGAAATTGGTATTTCTCCGACCTCTACCTGAAGTGCAGACACTGGTGTAGATCTGACTGCCCCACAGCATATCCTTAGTGCTTGTGCCTGGACTCTATCTAATTTTTGAAGAGAAGAATATGCAGCTGAACCATACACTATTAGTCCGTATTCTATGACTGATCTAATTAAGGCTGTGTATACGTTCCTCAAAGCAGCTTTATCAGCCCCCCACTTAGTGCCTGCCAAGCACCTCATAACATTTAAAACCCTTTTACATTTATCCACTACTTTATCAATGTGCGTACTCCATGTGACTCTCTCGTCCAACCATATTCCCAGAAATTTAAATGTCTTCACTTTCTTTAGATCTTGTCCATAAAGTTTTAACCTAACCTCCTCACTTATCCTTTTCCTCGTAAAAAATAAAGTTTCAGTTTTTTCCACCGACAATCTAAACCCCCATGTCAGAGACCAGCTTTCAATTTCCGTAATGGCTTCCTGAATCTTAGCTACAATATATTTTACATTTCTGCCCCTTTTCCAAATAGCTCCATCATCTGCAAAAAGTGACTTACCAATATCAGATCCTACTTGTGTGTATATATCATTTATCATGATAGAAAACAAAAGAGGACTAATTACACTCCCCTGCGGGGTTCCATTTTCAACGTCATGCCTTCGAGAATATGAATTGCCAACTCGGACTCTGATGGCACGGCCAAACAAAAAATCCATAATCCAATTACCTCCCAGACCCATAATGTCCAGTTTTATTAATAATCCTTCCTTCCACATCATATCGTAAGCTTTTTCCACATCAAAGAATACGGCTACAACACACTCCTTATTCGCTTGTGCTTTCCTGACTTCAGACTCCAGGCACAGCAATGGATCTAAAGTACTCCGCCCTCTTCTAAACCCACTCTGATAAGGAGTCATTAGTTCATTTTTCTCAATGTAGTATGTCAGCCTTTCTGTTATCATTCTTTCCATAACTTTACACAAGTGCGATGTCAGAGCTATAGGTCTATAACTGCCTGGACTGGTTGGATCTTTCCCAGGTTTTCTAATAGGAATAATGACAGACTCTTTCCATATTATTGGCAGCTTCCCTTTCTCCCAAATCTTATTGTACATCTCCAGCAGCTTTTCTAATGCAAAATCACTTAATTTGGTCAACATTATATAGCATACATTATATTTCCCAGGAGCAGTCATTTTACACTTACTTAATGCTCTTCTCACCTCTTGAATAGAAAAAGGTATATTTACAACACTCTGCGACGAATGTCTATCTTCATATACATTAGGATGTTCATCTAACACTTCCTGCCTCCTGATCTTACCTTCTTCTGTCAAATTTTCCGAAGAATGAACTTTGACAAAATTCTTAGCTAGAATTTCTGCCTTCTCCATAGCACCGGTGGCAATTTCCCCTCCATTCTCTAACACTGGCAGGTTACTCTGCTGTCTTATTCCCCTCATCTTCTTAACCATTCCCCATACTTTATCTAATGGTGTAGTTCTCCCAATACTTGAACAGAATCCTCTCCAACACTCCCTTTTTGCTCTTTTAACAATGTTCCTTACCTGAGCCTGTGCCTTTTTATATTCTAATAAATTGTGTAATGAATGTGTCTTTCTTAGCTTTCCAAACAGCCTGATTTTGTTTCGAATTGCATCATTACATTCTTTGTTCCACCACGGTACCATCTTAACACATTTACTAAGTTTACCAGTTTTATTCCCAATAGTTTGATTAGCGCTTTTAATTATATTTGAAGTAAATTGTTCATTTATTTCATCAATACTTCCTGCCATATCAATCTGATCAAATTCTTTATCACACAATTTAGCAAACATCTCCCAATTTGCTTTAGAAAAGGTCCATCTCATGATACCATCTAGCTCAACCACATTACTAATATCAAACTTGATTATAATCGGAAGATGATCACTCCCAATACTGTTATTTGCCAATACTTCCCAACTGCTACCCGAAGCTAATTCACTTGTTACAAGAGTTAGGTCGATCGCAGACTCTGTTCCATCTCTAAAATTGAGTCTTGTACCTTGCCCATTATTTAAACAAACAAATTCCTTTGCCTCCATTAAGTCTTCCACCACCTGTCCGTTGTAATCTGTTGATCTCCCTCCCCACATTGTATTATGTGCATTAAAATCACCACACCATATTATTTCATTTCCTTGGCAAAGACTGTCTAATTCCTCTATTTTGAGTTTATTACATGGATTATAAAAATTCAGGACACTAATTTTCCTTTTATTAATCCAAACTTCTACACCCACTATTTCTAAATCATGACTGTTCTTAAATATTAGCCTACTATAAGACATTACTTCTCTGATAAAGATTGCACATCCCCCTCCCTGGCCATCATTTCTATCTTGTCTTATAGCAGTATATCCCCCAATTATGAAGTCCAAATGAGTCTTCAGCCATGTTTCTTGAATACAAATAACATCTGGTTTTTCTTTTAACTGATATATATAAGTCTTGAATTCTTGTCCATTTGCAATAAGGCTTCTAGCATTCCACTGAAGAATGAGAAAAACCATTCATCTACTCACTAATCTGTGAATCATCATTATTGGGGGCTAGCATATCATGCATCATTTCAACGGTTATATCCTTTATCCCCAAAAATTCACCTGCTGCTTCCACTATTGTTTTCAGTCTTGACCTCTTTTTTGTTTGTTGCAAAGCAACATTCACCACTTTCCCAATAAAGGCCACACATTTGTACTTATTAACAATCAATGCATCCTCTCCTATCACACATTTATGTGAACACTTTGTGAAGCTTTCCTTTGCCTGTGTGAGTTTGGGAAAATCTTTTGAAGAGAATATACTTGCTGCTACTTGGGATTTCCTAGCTATGTTTAGGGAAACCTTTTCTGTTGCTTCAGCATATGAGACTTTATTTTGCACTTTGAATCTCTGCACCTCCTTGGCCTTTTTCTGCACTTCGCAGCCCTGATACGCAGCACTATGTTCCCCACCACAGTTACAACATTTCACCTTAGCACCTGCAGCACAACTACCATATTCATGTTCCCCCGCACATGTTGGACACCTGGGCTTAGTTGCTTTGCACTTGTCTGCCACATGCCCAAACCTTTGGCATTTAAAGCACCGCAGAAGTTTAGGGATGAATTCTCTTACTGGAAAGCTCATGCAACCGATCATTATCTTCTGTTGAATTGTTTCTTCAAACTGAAGAAGAACAGACAAACTATCCACTATCTTACCCTGATACCTAGTAGGAAGACGCTTAACTACAGACACTTTCCCCCCTTTAATTTCTTTCTTGAGCTCTTCTATGCCGATTTCTATGGGAACTCCACTGATAACTCCAAGTATTTTCCGATTTGCTCCAGGAACATGGCATTTAATTCGAACTTCATTCAGGGTCTTCATTTTCAGTAACTTTTCCTGTTGTTTTGCATTCATCAATTCAATCAACATCCGTCCTTTGCTCAGGAATCTTGCTTGCTTTATCGATCCAATTTCTTTGTGAATTGCTTTAGTCAGGGCCACTGGATGTAGCTTAGCTGCGGTTTGCTCACCAAACTCCACAATCACTTTCCAATCTTCATTCTCATTCTTTTTCTTTACTCTCTTCAACTCATTCCGTGAATCAGATTCACTAAGACTGTCACTTGACATGTCTATCTTCTTTCTTGAAGTCTTTTTCCTTACTTCACTCCATCCTCCTTCTCCTTCAGATGCACTTTCCATATCCTCTTCTCCAGGACTCAAAGACGCCATTCCACTCCGTCGCACGACTATCCTATCCAGTGACTTGCTCTCCTGGTGAAGGTCCCTGGTTTTTGCACTTTTTAAATGAAGTTGTTGACCTGGTCCTGGTGAAGGTCCCTGGTTTTTGCACTTTTTAAATGAAGTTGTTGAGCTGCCCGATCTGTACTGCGCATGTGCGAGATGGTCTGCTCCATACGGCAACCCAAATGGGACCCTTGACACAGTGGTCTTTGGCAAAGCAGAAAAAGAACACCCGACAATATTAATCTGAACGAGAGAGATTAGTTAGTTAGTTAGATTAGTTATTGTTATTACAACGTGACTTCATATTACAACGTGACTTCTCTATTATTTAACAACTCTTTTTATTGGGTTCTTTTATTTTGGGTTAAGTAGATTGTCAGAATAAGTGAGAAATGGATTTAACTTCTGTGAGACAGCTATCATACTGAATAAATATTTACTGTGAATGTATGCAAACATATATGGCATTAATAATGTATAAACTAATTACATTAACTGTGAATGTTTCATTTTATTTAAAATGAAATAAAATTACATGAAAAAGTTGATTCAAGAACAAATCTGTTATTAGATCAGTACTTTTCTTATATGACTATTATTGCTACATTTGAAAGGTCTTTACCAGCTTTGGAATTATATATATATAGCACCTTCTTCCATCCCATCTCTACTGACAATCATTAACACTTAGATTTTATATATATATTCACTGTTGGATGCTGGACCTAAGATTTTCAACGACATAATTACTCTGTTGCTATAGTTTGACAATAAAGAACCTTGAACCTTGTGATATCGTCACCCTTTTCAGTGATTGACTTGAACACTGAGAATGTTTTTATGAACTTTAGACATTTTCAAATACAAATGTGATCATACACCAACACACTTTTTAGGGATCTACATTTTTCACACACAACACACAACCATTTACTAAATTACACCAAATCCCATCATAATACGAGCAAATAAAAAGGCACAATAAATATGTGTGTGTGTGTGTGTGTGTGTGTGTGTGTGTGTGTGTGTGTGTGTGTGTGTGTGTGTGTGCGTGTAGGGCAGCACTAGCCAGCGTCCAGCCACAAGAGAGTGTGTGTGTGTGCGTGCGTGTGTGTGTAGGGCGGCACTAGCCAGCGTCCAGCCATGATAGCGTGTGTGTGTGTGTGTGCGTGTAGGGCGGCACTAGCCAGCGTCCAGCCACAAGAGAGTGTGTGTGTGTGTGCGTGTGTGTGTAGGGCGGCACTAGCCAGCGTCCAGCCATGATAGCGTGTATGTGTGTGTGTGCGTGTAGGGCGGCACTAGCCAGCGTCCAGCCACAAGAGAGGGTGCATGTGTGTGTGTGTGTGTGTGTGTGTGTGTGTGTGTAGGGCGGCACTAGCCAGCGTCCAGCCACAAATGTGTAAATGGATGGAGAAGATGACATATAGACATGTCTTAGAACAAAGAGGGTTGCTGAGTAATTTCCAGACTGGTTTTCACAAAGGAAGATCCACAATGCTTTGGTTAGAGTGATCAATGAGGTGGGAATACAGTGAAGACACTGAAAATGAAAGAGGTTATGGCAATAGTATATATTGACATTGATAAGGCTTATGACTCTATGTGGAGGGATGGGTTACTCATCAAATTAAGTGACAGGTGACAGTAACAGGTAACAGTAACAGGATCATGGCTCAGACAGGAAATTCAGAGTTCAAGTAGGGGCAGAGGTTTCGAAAGACTTCAATATAGAAAATGGTATTCCCCAAGGGAGTTCAATCAGCCTGATATTATTTAACATTATGATAAATGACATATTGACTAAGTTGGACGGATGCATCAAATCTGCGTTGTATGCAGATGACGGGGACATATGGATAAGGGGAAGAAATGTTCCAGAAGTGGTCATACAACTGGGGTTTCAAACTGTCAGCAAGCACATCTTGCTTCATGACATTTACAAATAAACGCAAGATGGAGACTGAGAAGCTTACATCATATGGAAAGCCGATGAATGAGGTCAATGCATTTAAATATCTATATGGTTAGATAGTAAATGTACATGGAAAACCCATATTAAACATTTGGAAACAAAATCCCAAAAAGTTGTTAACCTATTAAGAGCAGTGGCTGGATGAGACTGGGGGCAGACAAACAGGCACTAATTGACATCTATAGGGCAATTATGAGGACAACTCTGGATTACGGGTGTATAATATATATGCAGCAGCAGCAAAAATGTCATTACTAAAAATGGATAGATTACAATATAAAGCGTTACGGTTGTGTATAGGTGCAATCAACAATTAATCAATCATTATCACAATTACCTCAAAATATACACAGATAGATTCAACTTATTGTCATTACACAGTACAGGTACCGTGTAACGAAACGGTTTCTCTGCATTTGACCCATCCTAGTGTTAGGAGCAGTGGGCTGCCATTATGTACGGCGCCCGGGGAGCAGTGTGGAACGGTGCTTTGCTCAGGGACAACTCGGTAGCACTTGGTCTTTCCGGGACTTGAACTGGTGACCTTCCAGTTGCCAAGCCAAGTCCCTATGGACTTCGCCACCACCGCCCGATGGTTCTAAGAACAAGGAAGAGTGTCTTGGAGTTGGTATATATATCCCAGACTTTAAAATATCAATTTCAAAAAGAGCGTCAGATCAATTATCAGTGTGCAACAGAAATGCTGGCTGTAATAATAGGATTACAGTGGGTTGAAGAGGTCAGACCAGATAGGGTGGTGATATGCACAGATTCATTATCCATTTTAAAAAGTATACAGTCAACAACAACTGTCAGAGAAGAATTACTCATAGAACTTAATCTAGGAAATCATGATAGCTAGACTCAGACTGGATCACACAGCATTGAATGTTACTCTATGTCATAGGAACTGTGGAGTTAAAGAAAATGTGGAACATTTCATATTACACTGCAACATGTACAAAACAGAGAAGGAAAAACTAAGAGACAGGGAGAGTGGAACCTGATGGGGATACTGGGAACAGAAGGTGAGGGGGTAAGAGCTACCAGGAAGGCCATTCTTAAGTATTTGAGTGAAAAAGGATTGATTGGAAGAATTGAAAACAACGTAAACACAGTGGTATAATTCCACAAGTGCTGACAGGATGATATGTTGATACACGCTCTTGTACAGTAGGGGGCGGTATGCACCTTAAAGTTGTTTGCAATCCGCCAAAAAAACCGAGAGAAGAAGAAGAACGATTATACATCCATGGAACGACCAGACACATGGCAGCAACGTTCCCATCTGCTTCATTAATTTCTCCTGTTCAACAGGTTAGTAGTGTGGACACAGATTATGTCATATTTCGATCAAAGAAGTGTGTTTGAAACTGTTTTATGTGTAGTTTAATGTCATTCTGTGAGCTACGCCACTAGCGTGTGGCTAATGGCGTCCGCTTGCTTCTTTAGCGCAGGCTGTTGCTCCCTGAATAATGTAGGGCTCTACCATGTTACCATGTGTATGACTCCCTTGCACTAGTTTGGCTTACATTTCAAGTTTATTCTGTTTGTATAAATATGTGAAATGCTGGTCTGAGGTCATAATTGTTCATATTATTTAAATGCTAAAGCGCTAATGCTATGCTAATAGTGTGCCTGTACAACATAGCAATGTTAAAGTGAGTACAGTCGACCGGGTTGTGTGTGTTATCTGTAATCACTGTATTATATACTGTAAATGAAAAGGGCTTTAATCCTTCATCAAAGTCATAATATGGCATCTGGATTTATGTCCATTTTTGATTAGAGACACATATGTCATACGGTTATTTTGATTTGCTAAATGTATGTTTACATTCTCAGTTAGCTTCAGGCCTCACTGAGGCGAAGTATTGAGGTAGAAAGCTGGTGAAGCCATTTCCTGCTGTCATTATATTCTGTTTGCACAGATAATAAACCTGGTTGACAAGAAGGAAGTCGTTTTCATTCGACACAACGCAGAGATACATGTGGCGTCAATCCAGACCGGTTACACAAAGAATGATTTAGATAAATAGAGAAAACAGATATAATTTGTAAGTGAATTTATTAATTTGTTTAATACATTCTGGCTAGAACGACCACACAAACGGCAGCAACTTTCCCTCTGCTTCATTCTTTTCTCCTGATCAACAGGCTTATTATCTGATTACCAGCTCTGCACAGCGGACTTGTAACACTAGCAGCAGTGGAGATGGAGCATCAGAACCTGGAGGCTTCTACTCTCCTGAAGAAGAAGAATACAGCAACAAGGATCCATTTGAAGATAGGTAAATATTACAGTAATAGTGTACTTGCATTGTGTGGGTGTAAGGGTGTAACTTTGGTTTGAGAAGTGGGGGGGACACAAAACAGGGGGCAATGAAACATTTTCTCAATTTAATTCCATTTCCTGCCTTTCTACAAATATATTAGGGACTATAGTGTTAACAAATCCAAGAAAAATGTGTAGTGTATATAATGAGTGTGCACACTTATCTAGTATCCTATCCATGTGAACCTGTTTTATTTGTGATGACCTCACATCCTCTAGGGGGGTACTAGTATATATTTCAATCATTAAAAATCCTGCTTGCTCACAAGCAATAACACATATTTGATCAACTCCTCTCTCCTATCTTTATTTTACCTAGTCTGCATTCTTTCTTTTTATTTATGCATATTTTACTAATCACTCCCCTTTCAAATTGTATTTTTTATTTTGTACTGACCTATTGCACACAGTGGAATGATTTATTAACTCATTTTATATACAACTAATATTACATAGATGGAAATGATGACCAAATCCCTGAGCTGACGTTATCTCTCTCAGTCCCACATGAGAGCTCTCCCTCTCCTTATTGTTGAAACGGCTTCTAATCTCCGTTAGCTCCGAGCTAGCACCAAATACTAACAACGTCTCTCTTTCTATCTCTCACACGCTCCTCCTCCTCCTCCTCCTCCTCCTCCTGAGAGAGAATTTTATTTTGAGTTGTGCATTGTTATTTGTGCTTGAGAAACATTCCACTTGAACTTTATTTTAACAAACTTAGTAGTAATTATTGTCCTATATTTTTTTTCAGATTTCACAGCTGTCTGGGCCTAGCAGCAAGAACCTCCATCTGTCCCTGCCCCCAGGTCAAGATCTACCGTGGCTCAAGGGCCTTCACCGCCAAGGACCAGAGGACCATCATCACTACAGTGGCCTCCATCTCCATCTGCCACAAGATTAAGATACACCTCGGGACAAAGGCCTCCACCACAGCCATCACGATCAACCCAGCCAGCAAAGAAGTCTCGCCTAGCAGACGTACCTCCCACACGGCCACCAGCATCAACCTGGGACAATCACACCTACCTCCCTCCGACACAGCCACCAGAAGCCCATGCACCATCACCTACACAGCAGCCAGACCCCTTGTCCTGGAAGACAGACAAAGACCATGACACTGCTCCAAAAAATAGATGAGATGAGTAAATGTGTTTTCACAAGAGTTTTGAGGTTTTCCAAAAATCGGATTTCTCATTTGCAGCTAAGTATCTCATAAGACAGTGCTCTAAGGTGAGTGACTTGCATCTCTAGCAAGACCAGAGTGTCCTGAATATTTTCATAAGTAACATATGGGGTGCTATGTTATACACTCTTAAAACTACTGGGTTAAAAAATAACCCAATCATAACCCAGCTGCTGAGTCACTATAGGACAGAACACGCGCTGGGTTGTCTTAACCCATATGCTGGGCTGGATCATTTTAACCCATACATTGGGTTGTTTATTTGACCCAAGCTAGTGATTGAAATTAACTACATCACTGGGTTAAATTAATATAAACCATATATTGGGTTGTTTATTTGACCCAAGCTAGTGATTGAAATTAACTATATTGTTGGGCTAAATATAATATAATAATAATGTATAATAGTGTAATGAATAATCTCCAAACACACCGTATATATATATAAAAATGCATTTATTCATAATTTGAACATCTTTGGCAAATCGTCAACATTCAGGCCACTATAAAAGAACAATGCAAACAATACAAATTCAACCCCCCCCCCCCCAAAAAAACAAAGAACCTTAAAACAAATGATATATTACAAAGTGCTGTTATCTGGACCAACTTCTCTTTCAGGTTTAAATAACATGAACATGTTTAAATATAGAGATAAAACATTTCTCTGCCCAGCAGAAACTATATACAGACACAAACATTACAAGGTAAATACATAAATGAAGTAAATTAAATAAGTAAATAATAAGTAAATTAAATCACGTAAAGTAAGAATGAATTAACAGGAATAGTAGGTACTGTAAACGCAGGTCAATGTTTTGACACCATTTAAGTGTGTGCCTACTGTCTTCTGCAATCATGTTTTGTGTCAATCATATTTTTAGAGAGCAGCTGTCAACTTGTTTGACACACATCACTAAAAGGCTACTTCTCTCTGTGTACCTTTAGGCCAAAGCTACAATTGATGTCCTCATAAATTTGACATTTGAGGATTCATGTCCATCAATGTTATATGCTGCCTGTTGGATAAACTCCCAGGTGGGGAGACACTGCTTTGTGTAATTGAGGTCAAACACAAAGAAAGCCTTAAAACAAAGATCTACTGCACCCAGCAAAGTGTCCGTTTCAATGGCGTTGTCTGACACAATGGTGAAGGTCTGGCATGTTGTCATGTCATCACCAAGACACAAGATGTGCGGGAAGGGTTGAGTTCTCTCTGCTGTCTGTAGGTACTGTACCATGTTGGTGCCCACCTGTTAATTACACAACAGTTACTTGCAATATAACCTGCCATTTAAGTTAAGCATGTTGTTTTTATTATCTTTTTTATTGAAGTATGAAAATGCTAGTATATAAACACAGAAACACCCACCATTATTGAAGTAGAAAAACAAAAGTAAAACTTACTGGTTGGATATTAATGAAGGACTTGCAGGACTCCTCTATGGTGGGTCTGTGGACTTTTCCTCCAATCCTGTAGACCGATGGAGGAAGCAGAATCGGCAGGACTTTCAAAGCTCGGTCTACGCAATATAAGAAAAATACATATTAACATCAACATTTAAATAGTATATAAAGATTGATATTTCTGAACCAATATTGACTTTTCTGCCCTGGTGTTGAATGGTAAAAACAAGGCGTGAATTGTATAGCCTATTATAATCACAGGAAGTGTTGTGACATCTTATCAGAATCTGAATCGTTATTGTCACATCACAGGTTTACAGGTGTAAAACAGTGGGTGACATTTGTTTTTGTGCAAGCTCCATCGTTTTGATTGTTTCCAGAAAGAGAAAGAAAAGGAAGGGGGGGAGCAGGAATCACAGAAAGACAAAAGGTATCTAATGAAGTGGTTCACAAACTTGTTCATGTATTTGTCAACAGACTCCCATCCGAAAACATGTTGTGCAAGGGACCCCATACAGATGATTGTTAAAATATAAAAAAAATTGCAGATCCACAAGCTCACAACGAGTCTCATTGGGACGCAATACAAGCATGTAGATCTGCTATTTTCAAAGAACCGGTGTGTGTGTGTGTGTGTTGCATAGTAAGAAATAGCTTACCTGGTGTCATGTCATCAAACACCAAGGGCAGTTTTCCCTCTCGCTGGGCATATGTAAGGATTTGGTCACTCATAGTAGCCCAGTTCTGAAACAGTTTTCCTACTGCCTCTGGATGAAGCTGCTGGAAGTCTTGTGATATCTGATACATTTTGAAAATAAACAATAGAACAGTGTTTAAAGAAATGATATGGGCTTGTAGTACCTGTTAGGAAAAGGGTTAGGGGACAATTTGACAGCCAGTGTCACTTCAACAGGTAAATTATTACAAAGTATATACTGTAGGGTCTAAGTGGTTAAACATAAACTTGTAGTGCATTGCAGAGTATCAGTCAAATTGTCACGATCTGTCTGTGTTGTGTTTTGTCTTGTCTAGATCTGTTTTTGGTTTCCTGTTTTATTTTGAAAAGTGTTCACCCCCCCCTGTCTTGTCTGTTGCTTCCTGTCTCTGTGTTCCCTCCTGCCTGATAACCCAATTGTGTTCACCTTGTGCCCCTGTGTTTTCTCCTCCCTCCTCACCTGTGTCTTTTCTTCCTTCCTGTGTTTTCCCTCCTGTGTCTGATTGTGTTCACCTATTGCCTTTGTGTTTCTGCATTCCCTCCCTGTGTCTTGCCCTGTGATTACCCCTCTTTGTATTTAGTCAATCAATCAATCTATCAATGAATGTTTATTTATATAGCCCAATATCACAAATGTTACATTTGTCTCAGTGGACTTCACAATTTGTACAAAATATCAGTATGACAATACAATTTAGTCTCGTCTTCCCCTGTGTTCCTTGTCGGTTCATTGTCTTTCCTGTCACCCTCCATGTTTGTCACTGTCGTTTTTGGCTGGATGCTACCTTGTGCTACCTGTTTATGGATTCATGGTTTTGTTTTGTTTTTTCATTGTCAACAACCTTTTGTAATTAAAGCTCGCCTTTTGTTACACTTTGAAACCCGCTTTTCCTCAATCTGCATTTGGGCCCTGCCTTACCTCAAATCCTAACACAAATAGAGTATCATTCAAATAGACAAAACCGCAATAGAAAAATAATTTCTTACCATGCCAGGATTGTCTAAAAGCCTAGGGAACTCAGTCAAGATTTCCGGGAGGCTTTTAGATCCATTGCTGCGAATCCACTTGCCTCTATGTAGAGCTGTTTGATTCATGTAGTCCTCAACTTGGGACACTGGATACCGATTGACCTTCATCCATTCAACCATTTCTAGAAGTTTTTCAGGAGGCACATCATATTCTGTTGAATGATAAGTACAGAGGTCCTCAGATTCATTATAGCTGATTTCAAACATTTGGGGTTCTGGCCTACTTGGAGAGTGTGTGAAAAGTCGCCAATCGGTCCAGCGGTGCCTGAGACTAGCTTTTAGAAGATGGATGGACAGAAGAGTCATGGGACCTAAAATATAATCCCTTGCATTTGTCTATTCTAGCCTGGCGGGGATAATTAATATTGGTTATTAGTATTACCTGGTGTACTAGGGACGGTCTGTTCCTTCTGTTGTTCTTGGTGGCGTGGTCGTTTCAGCATTCTCATGCGCTTCCTGACGTTCCTCAAGCGCTCCTCCAGGAAACCTGTAGCAGGTTTGTGATTTCGGCCAGGTGTGTACCAAGCTCCCTGTAAAAGAGAAAATTAGATTCAGATTAAATTGGCCTGGCGTAAACCATGAAGATGGTTACATGGGATTTTAAGGAGCAATCCAAAAATGTGCGTGTGACTGTGCACTAGGAAAAACGTTTGAGCACATTTCTTTTAGGTGTGTGTGTATGGAGTGTTCTCCTTTATGTGTTGATTGATTAACTTACATAGCCACTGCCTGTACCATCCAAAAGGCAAGGGAATTCATACACCAATGCCACGGCAAGGGCTTTCTTTGTGTCTGTGGATGGCCTGTTAAAATAGACAGTAGTAGTTTGTCAAAGAACGATGAGATGAGACAGTAATCATTGTTACAAATATATGACGATTCAAATCCATGAATTAAACACTGAATTGTGATGCGGTTTTAAAGTGCATTTGAGTTCTGCTGTTCACCGCATGCACTCCTTGGTTGTTGTTGAAGGTGTGTGATAGCCAGTGTTGGACAGCAACATCGTACATTTACTTTACTGACATTTCTTATCTCATCTGTTTGAAAGTGTATGTTCACAGAATAATTCATATGCGGCTCACTCACGTTTCACCATTGGTTTCCAGCAGGTGAGATACACGTAGTCTTACAAGTTGCTTTCTCTGCTTGCTGATGATGGAGCACTTTTCTTCTAAACTCTGTACTATTTCTTTCCCCTGAGTAGTGCCTTGAAGAATCTGGCGAATTGCCTATAAAACATAGAATGAATCACAATGAAAAACTGACACAACTTTGGGAGGACATTTTTCCCTCAAATGTTTAGGTTCGTTGGTTCAGGATTTGTAGTGCCAGTTATTACACTGGCCAGGGGCGCAGTCCGCAGAAAGAGAAAAGAAAGATGAGAGAAAAGACAGAACTCAAGTCACACTGTCAGTCAGTCACAACAGGAGGGAGTAGAAACTAAACACACACAACCCACGAACACAAAAACAGCAAGTGAGCCTAGGAGTATGTTTTAGTACAAAACATCTCATCAAATAACTTGACAATTGTGTAAATACATGTTAAATTAACAAATCGTTGAATACATTAAAATTCAGTATCATTAGGATTGCATTTTCACTTGGATTTCTTTAGTCAATACTTACAAATGATGGTTGCAGGTTCAAAGTCTCAGTCAGGAGATTACTTGATGTGGATTCCTCCATTGAAGTGTCTACAGAACTTGGAGAACCCACTGCAAAACTTGGTGCGTTAGTGGCAATGGCAGTCTGTAGAGAATCGGTTAAGGGATGATTCCAAAGACTTCTTAAACCATATAGATGATAGAACGGTCAACTTCAGAATTCTGTCAACTGTATTTACAGAGACGGGATCAGGCAATGCCATCACAAATGTCCTAAATCAATCCTACCCATATGTGAGCAGCTAATCATCAGCACAGCTGGACCGATAAGTGTGAAACTTTGCACGCACACTCCCAGTAGGCTAAGGAAGAACCTCTGCCCCACACTTTTCAAATCGCCTCATGGTGGCAACAGCCCACTTCCATGTTTTGGCCTATAACTCTTGAACCCTTGGTCGTACAGGCTCATGACTCAACTCCCCATATAAGTCATGACCATTTGTGCTGGACTATATTTTCCACCAGTGTGCATTTTCTCCAAAACACACTTTTTGCTGCTACTTCTACAGATTTTGAACAAAACTCATACAAATGGTACACATCTCTGCAGCCATGTGATCAAGATGTATCATTCAGATTTATCATATTCCATTCCAGTTGACTC